CTCCTTGATGTTATTAGAGTTTACATACATGATGTTGTGCTGCTGGATGTGGATGTAGCTAAAATAACAAAGGATAATAAATTGTTTTATTCCTATAAGTTTTGAATCTTTGAGCTATCAGGAGTTTTACGGAAAAGCCATCTGTACTTTTCACTTTACGAGATTAGTTCATACGATTAATACACAAATTAGTTGAAGCTGTGGACTGATTTATGTATTTAATCGAGGTAGCTAAAAGAACGAAGGATAAAGATTTATTTTATTTCCGTAAGTTTTGAATATGGTTATTGTTTCCGGTGTGGTGGATGCTAGTTGTGTGAGTTTGATGATGGGAATTTAGAGGTAGTTGAGTCTGTTGGTCGACGGGATTTGTATTGTTTTAAGATTTAGTTTACTAGAGGTGTTGCGGAGATCTTCGTGTTCAGTACGACTAGCGAAAAGTTTTGGCAGAAATTGCTCGATCTTGTCTAGTAGTATTTGATCTATTAAAAGAGGTGAGATTGATCTTGTACATTTACTCTATGTCTCTTTATACAGTAGAAAAGAAGACATTCAGTTTTCCAAGAATCTGCCCCGTACTCGACCTTAATAATTTCGTTCGTGATTCGTAAGCATACTGTCAGGAACTCTAACGCCGTTACATCACAGAAGAAGTCATAAGCATTCCGGAACGTTAAACACAGGTGATTCAATGTACGATCCGTAAAAGAACAAATCGCCGGCACAAGCAACACTGTCGTTTTTCGCACAACCGGACTCAAATTTTAGTGCAACAAATGGCCCTCTGGTCCAATATCCCCGCAGCAAGAGAAGCGTACGATGACACAAAGACTGGACGCGGTATGGATGGAATGTTATATCGGGTGCGTCAGAAATAATGGCACACTTTGTATTTCGTGAATTCATCAGTTGTTATGTATGTCAGGAAGATTTTTTGTCGAGAAATGATTTACATGTACATCTTCGTCAGCAATGTTATCCAACAGAAATTCGTGAACATATTGATACAATGACGAAGCATATCGAAAACGAGGATCAACGTGAACAATTACAAGCTATACTATGGAAATACGGGCGCTTATTTGATACTACACAACCATTAGTGATCAATTACACCTTGGAAGGTGCCATATACACGGGTGATCATCCTTCTGTTCACATACCACCGTATAGGCGAAAAGAGCATCAACGGATACAAAATGAAACGCATGATTTATTGAAGCAGGGTATTATTGACCCATCGACATCCGCATGGTCCAGTCCAGCCGTATTAGTGAAGAAAAAGGATGGTTCGACCCGTTTTTGCATTGATTATCGTCGTGTAAATGAAGTTACCTCTTGTCAGTTACCCAAAATCGATGAAATTTTTGATTAGTTAGTCGAATCGGCATATTTTACCAAGGTTGATTTTAAATCTGGATACTTCAAATCCCCCTACATCCAAATGATCGTCCAAAAACTGCATTTAGCATCCGGGATAATCATTATCAATTTACAGTACTCCCTCAAGGTTTCACTAACGGTCCACCGTCATTTCAACTCCTCGTCAATCAGTCTTGGTCCGGCCCGTTGGATGTATGCTTTAGCATACATAGATGATATAATCATTTATTCTGAAACATTCGGTGATCATTTGGTACACTTAGAACACGTGTTAGGTTCATTGCACCAACACAATTTCCGTCTAAATGTGGGAAAATCAAAAATCGCAAATAGGGAACTTGGATTTTTGGATCATCAAGCCAAGGAAGGAAACATTAAACCCAATCCGGAGAATATCCGAGCATTGATAGAAACACAAATACCGACGACAGAAGAAGAGACGTGTAGATTTCTTAAGGCGCCGAATATTATCGTAAATTTATCCGTGGTTTTTCTCGTACTGCAGATCCATTGTACAAAATGTACCAAAGAAAACACACGAAAGATCAAAACAAACCTCAGTCATACTATCAGACGAATTAAAACATATTTTAACACCGGAGATTGTCCTTCGCTTACCAAACAATCAGTTACAATACATAATTCAGACAGATGCATCAAAACTCGGTATTGGAGCTGTGTTATTATAAGTCTATCCAGAAGGTAATCGTCCAGTGGTATTTTATCGAAAAAGCTATCACCCACACAACAACGATGGTGTACATCAGAACAAGAATGTTATGCAATTATTTCAGCGAGCGAAAAATGGCATCAGTATATAGATGGTGTGGATTTTGAAGTACACACCGATCATAAACCACTGAAATGGCTGAAAAAAAAAGCACAGGGCAGTAATAAATTTGAGCGATGGCGATTGAAATTCCGACAATATCGTATGATAGATACATATATTATAGGGCCTGGCAACACCATGCCAGACTATTTATCTCGATCGCCCGTGGATGATCCTACAGAAGATCTAGATGATTATGTAAAACGAATATCATGCACAACACAAACTGATAATAATGATCAAGTACCAGTAACAAAACAGCCAGTTATTACAGCAGTTACCACTCGATTACAAGAAAAACAAAGAAAAAGAGATAATGATGATCAGGCGGATGTTTGCACGTCGGGCAACCCCGGTATGCGTTCAAACAAAGAGGTTGTTCAATCAAAGAATAAACCTCGTACTGATGAGAATACACGGGTTTTATCTGAACTTGATCATCACGGTATTATTCCTTTTACGCACGATGATATTAGGCAGTAACAACTATCTGATCCGATTTTGCAGCAAATTATGAAGAATTTGGAAAAGGAAAAGCATAAGAATTGCATCATCGAGGATAGTATGCTAATGCGTAGACAACAATTAAAATTGGTATCAGTCGTTCCCAAAGGTAAAATACGAAAAAGTATCATGCAAATATATCACGATACCCCAGCAAATGGTGCACATTTCGGTCGCGATTGTACGTTGAATACAATAAGGAATTACTGGCCCACAATGAATAAGGATATCAAAAATTACGTACGATCATGCTTCAAATGCCGCCAAAATAATCACAGCAGGAGAAAAGCGGATGGTCATTTACAACCAATTCCACCACCAGAAGGAGTATTTGAATTATTGATTATAGATTTTCATGGGCCCATTACTCCAGTATCAAAAAATCAAAACAAATATATCATTACTATCACCGATCATCTGTCGAAGTTCGTTATTGGTAAAGCTGTACGTGATTGCGCTGCTCCAACAGCAGCTGAATTCCTTCATGGTGAAGTAATATTAAAATATGGTACGGCGACAGCCATTTTATCTGATAATGGAACTCATTTTACTGCATCCATGATGAATGAATTATTCACACAGTTCGGTATTATCCATTTGTATTCTACACCTTATCATCCACAGACAAATGCATGCATTGAAGGTTTCAGTGCAACCATGGATGCCAAAATCGCCTCATTATGTAATGAGAAACGTACAGACTGGGATGAGCAACTTCCATTTGTCATTTTTAATTATAATACGTCTGTTCATTCTGTCCGTTCCGAATGATATATAGGCGTGAACCCAAATTGCCGTTTGGCCATCAACACCCACTCGTCTCAATCCAACAAGATCCGGATTATCTTGACAAATTGAACAATTATATATCGGACATGGTGGAAGAAGCAAAAAAGAATATTGTCGAACAGCAACAAAAATTCTCAAAATCGGTACAATTGGAATCGTTCAAGTCCGCAATATAAAATTGGCGACTTAGTCATTATTAAAACTACACGTGCCCGACACAAGTTTGATATACGAAGCGAAGCGAAGATTCGTTTAGAGTCACACAAAAATTGGCACAAAAAGCTTATGTCATACAACATGTCAAAAGACTGGACATGAAGCGACAAGTCACAACGGATGTCATTATATCACTATTTGAACGCCCAAAATTTGATGCTGAAGACTAAAAGACGATCTGTCAAACCAATAAAAATGCATTCATGATCATTATTTTATTATCGATTCATCCATATAATTCAACAATGCTTGTCGGGGTGACAGATGTCCCCTTCACACTCACAAGAGAGGTTGTTATGTGTATACTTCCTTAGTATTAATAATGTGAACGAATGAAACTATTTTTTCTTGTCTATCACATTAAGATTTAGCTAATTACTGTCTATGTCATCAACCGGAACAAGTTAGCTCCTGTTTGGATTACAATAAACATGATCAATATTAATCATTTGATTTAATGGTGTACAATTATATCAGGGATTAATATCAATTAGAATTAGCGATATTTTGGTTAAATTAGCTAATTGAGCTTCATACTATTAACTAACATGTGAAGACAACAGTTTTGGTGGATACTAACACTGCTCATCATTTTTCAGAACAGACTACTGTAAAACTCAGACCACGAATTCGGAGATGGACATCTTGCGGATGACCGTGCCTTATTTCCTAAGCAGACATCTGAGAAAAAGAGACGTTTCTATTGCTTTTCCTTGTCGACTCTGTGTCTTTTGTATTTTGTTTTATTTCAGATAGTCTATTTCATAAAAATATCACACCGTTATGATACTCGTATTTCATGTAAATCACCAGATAGAATATCGCATTCCTACCAACAGCGAACTACGTCTTCATTTTCATCATCAAATACGTTAAATCATCATCATTCTTATCACCGTTCAAAACATAATTTTGACAATCTTCATGATCAAGCCCGTTTTTTACCTGAAGACAAACCAAAAAATCTAAATACTAAACAAGCAAGAATTGGGACAAAGCAACGAAAAAGCATGGAGCAATTATGATCTATCGACAGCAATGATTCAATTTAAACTATCACCGTTATCGTACGCCAAATACTATATCAACAGTCAAACACCAAAACACCAACTATTAGATATGATCAACATGGTTAGGGAAAAATATTATCGTTGACACAGAAACTGATCATCATAAAGAAGAATCGCCTCTTATTCAAGTACAAGTCGTTATCATGGTTGGAAAAGAACATAATTTGCTAATTGAAACACAACAATTACCATATTTCGGATCCAAAGAACATCAACTTATTGTTCAATTATTATCTATCAAACTGCATTTTTAAAAACAAGAAAAGCGTATGCACAAAAACCCAGAGCGTATGATTTTTCCGACTCGAAATAGGTTCATTTGATAGAGCAACCGAAACTGTATATTTCGTAAAAGTTTCGTATTGACAATGCTTTCCGTTTAGTCGTTGAAGCGATCTTTTACAACAAAAATCCACATTTGGAACATTCTAAATGCAGGATTCGAAAAGCTGATATGCGTTTTAGTATATCTAACTGATTTTGAATGTTATCAAGCATCACCTTGAGATAAGGTTAAGGAAATTCAAAGTTCCACGCTTTTTATTTTTTATTTTTCTATACATCATCCGAATATGTATACAATATTTTGCAAAAATAATTCATCACTTTTCAAAACAATTTTTATTGAAAGTAGAGCAACTTTACAAGATGCTTTTACAATATTTGAAATCAGTATTTCATACTCTTTTTATGCTCCTATTTCATGACTTTCATCTATGTTAGCCCACATTGACTAAAATAAGAGCATATAGTTTTTGACTGCGCCAAAAATGTATGCACCATTTAAACATTGGTGTTGGGGCATCCGAGCTGCGGACATCTCATTTTGTAGAAAAATGTTTCTTCTACAAAATGCATTCGTTAAAAAATTTTTATAGTTATTTCTAACCAAACTTACAGCATAAATCACAAAACTAAGTGTTTTGAAAGTTTGTAAAAAGTAACAGATTTTTTCGTGATTTAGTGCATTTTAGAACGCTCTAAGTTTTCATAGAAATAACTACGAAATTTTCTCCTTTGGGTAGAAGGAAGAAATGGGTAAAATACTATAAATAAAGTTCAATTAAGGGGAGAAAAGTTTAGATGCGGAATTTTCCCCATGGGGGGTGAAAATGGGTTTTTTGAGGTGCTAGTTTTAATCACGGAGAAAAACTACATCAGACTTGTGAATATGAGCTTGATCTGAGAAGGGGCCGATTTTGCCTCTTATCGACCCCCGTCCCTCCGGAAAAACGGCAAAAGTAAACTTTAATATTCTGTCATATATCATGTACAACGATTGATATTGTGTAATACTTAACGGTCAGTGTTAAGTTGACTTTTGCGGTTTATCCGAAATTTGTTCGATTCTGCCTATTACCTCTACAAGGATTGTCTTTGTCTGCTACACTTTGCTGCATATTCATTCGTATACTGATTCAACTCTGAATTTTTCAATTATCCATCAAAAACTTAAGCCGTTATTGAATCCGAAACGCTAGGTTCTAAAAGTGATTGCCTTCATCCCGGCGGATAAATGCCAAACGCCGAGGATAGAGCAGAAATCGGCGATTTTCCAGATTCTCGAGTACCAGTATTTCGCAAAACGTACAACTCAACGGCATATACGCAAGCAGCGAGAAAACCCATCCGAGCTCAATCGGCTTTTAAAATATCCCGACCACTTTTACTACAGAAACGCTGTCCTTAAATTATATAAAGAGTATTTCACGTTGTGAAACGTAAATCACAAGTTGACTGATAAAATAAAGGCATTGCAGCACAAAAATTGGAAGAAGCAACCCACGGACAGCTTGAACACACAAACCGCACGAGCAGCGAGATAACCAGAGAAGATTGGAAAACTTACTAGTTGTTGCTAAAAAGAAAAGAAGAATTCGGTTTATTTGATTACCTTATGCGGAAGATGCTACTTTTCACGGTCTTTTTCTTACTTGTGCTAGTGCTGGTTGAACTGCTAGTTAGTGTCGGTGTGGTTGTTGAAGCTTAAATATTGAGAACAGGCTAATATCTACCTAACAGATCATAATTATGCTAAGGATTTCGATCAAAACAAAACGTCATACACACAAACCGTATGTAATCCATTCGTAGTAAAATCATAGAGGCTTCAGAAAATTATCTCACTACGATCTTATAAGATCTTCTCTTTAAAGATTTTGGTAAAGTATCATTCGGTTTACTAGCACGATCGTTTTCTTACTTGTACTAGTGCTGGTTGAACTGCTAGTTAGCGTTGATGTAGTTGTTGAAGCTTAAATAATGAGAATATAATACAATCTAATAAATGATAATTTTACTAACGAGGAAAGGTCCAAAAGTCTGCAATCGGGTTTTTTTCGAAATTTAGTGGACAGTAGGTAACATACTACGCTGAATTGGAATATGACATTCGTTCGCGCCCTTACGCCTCGAGTGACCGGGTCACTGGAAAACGATCTTCTCTACCTTTCTTCGCAAAATTACAGAATTTACACGAAAAGACCTAATAGTTCATTT